GTCTAGTCAGTCTAGCAGGAGAAATATAGAGGCGTAGTCTAGTCAGTCTGACAGGAGAAATATAGAGGCGTAGTCTAGTCAGTCTGGCAGGAGAAATATAGAGGCGTAGTCTAGTCAGTCTGACAGGAGAAATATAGAGGCGTAGTCTAGTCAGTCTAGCAGGAGAAATATAGAGGCGTAGTCTAGTCAGTCTAGCAGGAGAAATAAAGACGTAGTCTAGTCAGTCTAGCAGGAGAAATAGAGACGTAGTCTAGTCAGTCTAGCAGGAGAAATATAGAGGCGTAGTCTAGTCAGTCTAGCAGGAGAAATAGAGACGTAGTCTAGTCAGTCTAGCAGGAGAAATATAGAGGCGTAGTCTAGTCAGTCTAACAGAGAAATATACAGGCGTAGTCTAGTCAGTCTGGCAGGAGAAATAGAGACGTAGTCTAGTCAGTCTAGCAGGAGAAATATAGAGGCGTAGTCTAGTCAGTCTAGCAGGAGATATATAGAGGTGTAGTCTAGTCAGCCTAGCAGGAGAAATATAGAGGTGTAGTCTAGTCAGTCTAGCAGGAGAAATAGAGACGTAGTCTAGTCAGTCTAGCAGGAGAAATATAGAGGAGCAGTCTAGTCAGTCTGGCAGGAGAAATATAGAGGAGCAGTCTAGTCAGTCTAGCAGGAGAAATAGAGACGTAGTCTAGTCAGTCTAGCAGGAGAAATATAGAGGTGTAGTCTAGTCAGTCTAGCAGGAGAAATATAGAGGCGTAGTCTAGTCAGTCTAGCAGGAGAAATATAGAGGCGTAGTCTAGTCAGTCTGACAGGAGAAATATAGAGGCGTAGTCTAGTCAGTCTGGCAGGAGAAATATAGAGGCGTAGTCTAGTCAGTCTGACAGGAGAAATATAGAGGCGTAGTCTAGTCAGTCTAGCAGGAGAAATATAGAGGCGTAGTCTAGTCAGTCTAGCAGGAGAAATAAAGACGTAGTCTAGTCAGTCTAGCAGGAGAAATAGAGACGTAGTCTAGTCAGTCTAGCAGGAGAAATATAGAGGCGTAGTCTAGTCAGTCTAGCAGGAGAAATAGAGACGTAGTCTAGTCAGTCTAGCAGGAGAAATATAGAGGCGTAGTCTAGTCAGTCTAACAGAGAAATATACAGGCGTAGTCTAGTCAGTCTGGCAGGAGAAATAGAGACGTAGTCTAGTCAGTCTAGCAGGAGAAATATAGAGGCGTAGTCTAGTCAGTCTAGCAGGAGAAATATAGAGGTGTAGTCTAGTCAGCCTAGCAGGAGAAATATAGAGGTGTAGTCTAGTCAGTCTAGCAGGAGAAATAGAGACGTAGTCTAGTCAGTCTAGCAGGAGAAATATAGAGGAGCAGTCTAGTCAGTCTGGCAGGAGAAATATAGAGGAGCAGTCTAGTCAGTCTAGCAGGAGAAATAAAGACGCAGTCTAGTCAGTCTAGCAGGAGAAATATAGAGGTGTAGTCTAGTCAGTCTAGCAGGAGAAATATAGAGGCGTAGTCTAGTCAGTCTAGCAGGAGAAATATAGAGGCGTAGTCTAGTCAGTCTGACAGGAGAAATATAGAGGCGTAGTCTAGTCAGTCTGGCAGGAGAAATATAGAGGCGTAGTCTAGTCAGTCTGACAGGAGAAATATAGAGGCGTAGTCTAGTCAGTCTAGCAGGAGAAATATAGAGGCGTAGTCTAGTCAGTCTAGCAGGAGAAATAAAGACGTAGTCTAGTCAGTCTAGCAGGAGAAATAGAGACGTAGTCTAGTCAGTCTAGCAGGAGAAATATAGAGGCGTAGTCTAGTCAGTCTAGCAGGAGAAATAGAGACGTAGTCTAGTCAGTCTAGCAGGAGAAATATAGAGGGGTAGTCTAGTCAGTCTAACAGAGAAATATACAGGCGTAGTCTAGTCAGTCTGGCAGGAGAAATAGAGACGTAGTCTAGTCAGTCTAGCAGGAGAAATATAGAGGCGTAGTCTAGTCAGTCTAGCAGGAGAAATATAGAGGTGTAGTCTAGTCAGCCTAGCAGGAGAAATATAGAGGTGTAGTCTAGTCAGTCTAGCAGGAGAAATAGAGACGTAGTCTAGTCAGTCTAGCAGGAGAAATATAGAGGAGCAGTCTAGTCAGTCTGGCAGGAGAAATATAGAGGAGCAGTCTAGTCAGTCTAGCAGGAGAAATAGAGACGCAGTCTAGTCAGTCTTGCAGGAGAAATATAGAGGCGTAGTCTAGTCAGTCTAGCAGGGGAAATATAGAGGCGTAGTCTAGTCAGTCTAGCAGGAGAAATAGGGACGTAGACTAGTCAGTCTAGCAGGAGAAATATAGAAGAGCAGTCTAGTCAGTCTAGCAGGAGAAATATAGAGGCGTAGTCTAGTCAGTCTAGCAGGAGAAATATAGAGGAGCAGTCTAGTCAGTCTAGCAGGAGAAATATAGAGGAGCAGTCTAGTCAGTCTAGCAGGAGAAATATAGAGGAGCAGTCTAGTCAGTCTAGCAGGAGAAATATAGAGGAGCAGTCTAGTCAGTCTAGCAGGAGAAATATAGAGGAGCAGTCTAGTCAGTCTAGCAGGAGAAATATAGAGGAGCAGTCTAGTCAGTCTAGCAGGAGAAATATAGAGGAGCAGTCTAGTCAGTCTAGCAGGAGAAATATAGAGGAGCAGTCTAGTCAGTCTAGCAGGAGAAATATAGAGGAGCAGTCTAGTCAGTCTAGCAGGAGAAATATAGAGGAGCAGTCTAGTCAGTCTAGCAGGAGAAATATAGAGGAGCAGTCTAGTCAGTCTAGCAGGAGAAATATAGAGGAGCAGTCTAGTCAGTCTAGCAGGAGAAATATAGAGGCGTAGTCTAGTCAGTCTAGCAGGAGAAATATAGAGGCGTAGTCTAGTCAGTCTAGCAGGAGAAATATAGAGGCGTAGTCTAGTCAGTCTAGCAGGAGAAATATAGAGGCGTAGTCTAGTCAGTCTAGCTACTACCTCTAGTCAGTTTATTTACTACCTCTCCAATTACTACCCCTTCCAAGTTACTACCCCTCCAAATTACTACCTCTCCAAGTTACTACCCCTCCAAGTTACTACCCCTCCAAATTACTACCTCTCCAAGTTACTACCTCTCCAAGTTACTACCCCTCCAAGTTACTACCTCTCCAAGTTACTACCCCTCCAAGTTACTACCTCTCCAAGTTACTGCCTCTCCAAGTTACTACCCGTCCAAGTTAATACCCATTCCAAGTTACTACCTCTCCAAGTTGCTACTTCTCCAAGTTACAACCCCTTCCATGTTACTACCTCTACAAGTTACTACCTCTCCAAGTTACTACCTCTCCAAGCTACTATTCCTTCAAGTTATTGCCTCTCCAAGTTACTACCCCTCCAAGTACCACCCCTCCAAGTTGCTACCTCTCCAAGTTACTACCCCTTCCAAGTTACAACTTCATGTTACTACCCCTCCAAATTACTACCTCTCCATGTTACTACCCCTCCATTTTGCTACACCTCCAAGTTACCGCTCCTGCAATTTACTGCTCCTGCAAGTTACTGCTCCGGCAAGTTACTGCTCCGGCAAGCACTAACATAGTGACACACTACCCTAGTCAGAGTGAACAAGTTTCTGTGTTGCGACGTCAAAGAGAAATTCCAGATTAAACCCTTAACCTTCCTAAACTTCCTGCTCCATTAGCCAGTTAAGTCTGGCTGTTTCAGCGGCTAGTTGTGTTGCAGTACGAGTGTTGCAGTGTTGGGTATTACAGTGTGTTAAGTGTTGGGTGGATGTTACACTGTGTTGGTTATTACAATACATTCCACACAAATGGACTAAGACTTAATGAAGATTTCACAGGAATGCAAAAGAATAATTTATAAAGGGTTAGGTATAGTACCCAGTACCTTGTACCACTGAGGTTTCTCGTGAAGCAATTCGTTCTTGCTTCACCATTGAATGCCGTGTAGATTTTAAGGCTTTTTGGTTACTCTGCCATTTCGTTGGCAGGCGTTTTTCAGTCATATCGTAATTTCTTATCTCTAGTTAAATATAAATATGTACAGGTGTATGTAACCTAAGACAACACAAACGAAACTCTAACTTAACCTCGACTAACCTATTAATTAATTAAATGGAATAAAATTTGTATGTGTGTTCGTGTCAGGATAATCTCAATAAAAGGGTATCATTGATGCCTTTGGCGACTGCTTAACGTTCCAATATTTATAGAGCTGATATGGGATTATCAGTATTGCTGTTGTTACACGGCCAGGAACACAGCTACACGACGGGTTTCTCACGAAATAAGATTCGGTATCTTTATATGTATATGTTTATAAGCTATTGTGTTCTGAGCACCTCTGCAAAAACAGTGATTATGTGTGAGTGAGGTGAAAGTGTTGAATGATGATGAAAGTATTTTCTTTTTGGGGATTTTCTTTCTTTTTTGGGTCACCCTGCCTCGGTGGGAGACGGTCGACTTGTTAAAAAAAATGTATATATATATATATATATATATATATATATATATATATATATATATATATATATATATATATATATATATATAATTATACATATATATATATATAATTATACATATATATATATATATATATAATTATACATATATATATATATATAATTATACATATATATATATATAATTATACATATATATATATATAATTATACATATATATATATATATAATTATACATATATATATATATATATAATTATACATATATATATATATATATATATTATATATATATATATATATATATATATATATATATATGCAAAACAACCACTCTGAAAGAATAGAGAAATTCCAAGCGCTTTCGTGACTACTCACATTATCAAGCATAATGTGAGTAGTCACGAAAGCGCTTGGAATTTCTCTATTCTTTCAGAGTGGTTGTTTTGCATATTCTGAAATCACCTGTTTACTGTGATCTTATTGCATATATATATATATATATATATATATATATATATATATATATATATATATATATATATATCGACTGAAATTAAAACATTTTCTTCCCTACTAGGATGAAGATTCACGTCCGCTCCACAGCCTTGCTGTGCCTCGCTGCTCTTGTGGTAAGTACCGCCAATATCCAATTTTCTTTCGTAGTGGGTACGACTATACTCATATAATGACCTCACGTGGTTAAAGGATCTCGTCAGTTTTTGCAGTTTTATGTAGTAATTGTTTAGTTTACGTTGATGTCTAGTTTGTGAATCTCTTATTTCAGTTATGGGTCTTCGAATGTATCTTATTTGGAGAATATTACACAAGTGTTAATGACTAGCTCATTTTCAAGATGTCTAAACACAACCTTGGAGCAATGTAAACATTCGGAAAGATCCTGGTCACAGTGTTATATATTTAGGCTTTGAGCATATTTGCAACTGTTTTCTTTTCTCTGTATATAAATGGGGAACAAGTGGAATTCATTTGCGATTGCTGTTGCAAGATCTGCTGCATATACAACAACCAATTCACTGACCTGCGACAGTGATCTGTCTACATGGAAACTGAATCGGCCATTCAGTCTGGTATATGCATTTCTCTGCTTTTTCATTCCCACAAGAAGCTGATCCATGAAAAGACAGAAGCACTAACACACCAGTACAGGTGGTCCTGTGTGTTAACACATCAACACAAGTGGTCCTGTGTGTTAACACACCAGTACAGGTGATCCTGTGTGTTAACACCAGTACAGGTGGTCCTGTGTGTTAACACACCAGTACAGGTGGTCCTGTGTGTTAACACATCAGTACAAGTGGTCCTGTGTGTTAACACACCAGTACAGGTGGTCCTTTGTGTTAACACATCAACACAAGTGGTCCTGTGTGTTAACACATCAGCACAAGTGGTCCTGTGTGTTAACATCAGTACAAGTGGTCCTGTGTGTTAACACATCAGTACAAGTGGTCCTGTGTGTTAACACATCAGTACAAGTGGTCCTGTGTGTTAACACATCAGTACAAGTGGTCCTGTGTGTTAACATATTAGTACAAGTGGTCCTGTATGCTAATACCTTATACAGCTGTTGCCTTGCATGAACATATTTATACAGCTGGTGGCATGAGTCAACGCATGTATTCATCTAGTAATGTTTTACCATAGGTGGGCGTGTATGGCCACGGGCGTCTGATGGATCCTCCGGCCAGAAACTCCATGTGGAGGTTCGGATACCCGAACCCCGTGAACTACAACGACAACGAACTCTATTGTGGAGGCTACGTCGGTAAGTCAGTAAGACTGAGCGAGTGATTTTCTTTCCTTCTGGTTGAACCTAATTATCTCTTATTCTGGTCAGTTATATCATCCATGAGTTTGTCCCCTTTCCTCATTGAGGTTCAGATGTTTGCACATAGATAGACCGATGCCTCACACACACATTTTCACAATCAGTTTCATTTTAGAGAGTATTGTCATGTTATGGTCTGTGCCAGACATCACTCTTAACTCGACACATGAGGACATTGGGAAAGCAGATTCAAAAGACTACCAGTATATTGTGGCTGACAGTGTCGCTCTCTTTGTACTACAGTAGTGTGGCCTCAACCTACAATGAACCAGCATGTCCTAAAAATCTTCACAAATTATGTCGGCAAGCATTATGACAATAGAGAATTAGTAGTCTTTTGGAGGCTTTCCAGAAACATTGACATTTGAAACTCAAGAGTGAAGTCATCACCTTCGAAGCATGTCTCTGTTGAAGTTGCAGTTCTAGAAACTGTAGCCATAACTATAACAAAGGCAGATTCTCATAGTAATATATCAAACACGACAAATGTTCACTAAACTGAAGATACACATCCTGTCTCGTGGTTCACCAGACTATTAATGATGCTGATACATAAATTAAAAAACATGAAAACTACACAATAAAGGACAAAGAATTGCAGAAGTGAGTGATGACACGGATTTGTACTTTTTATATCCATTTAAAAGCCATTCACCAAAATAATCTTTATGAAATCTGGTAAATTTCAGTCTCAACAAGATTTATACTATTAGCAAACAACAAACAAATTTCGGGCAGGTGCGCCAGTATTTTGTTGTCCGTCATTCGTTCACCGGTTGTAACACAACGTCAGCTCTTTACGCGAAGGAAAAATGTAAAAGCGCTTCATATCCTGAAGTACAGACGAAACATATGTGATATTGTATGTTTCCACTAGTCCACAAGTGTTAGTAAATGATGATGCTAGCGTGTTGGTCTGGCACTCACCTTAACACAACAATACTCTTTAAAACGAAACTAGTTGTGAATATGTGTGTGTGTGAGGCATCGGCCTATATATGTGGAAATATCTTCAAACACACACACACACACACACATCAGAGGCCAGTGGCACTGATATACACAATATAAAGGTTACGGTTAGCATTATCTAAAGAACAGTGGAACACCTACCAAGGAGTGGATTCATCAGCATCAACCAACTTGGTTTTAGAGATGGGAAATCTTATCTCGGAAATCTGCTAGCGAAAGACAGGCAGGAGAGAGAGAGGGCTGAGCCGACTGTTCATTTTTTGCTCTGTAAGGCGTTCTATACAGTACCTCAAGAGGCTGGGGTAAAAATAGAGAATTATTCAAGAATAACAGGGAAAACACTAAATGTAATGGATCAAAGAATGCTTATAAGGAAGGAAACAAACGCGAACCTGACAAATTTATGAATGCGCTGGATGCGTGCGGCCAACAGTAACAGCCTGGTTGATCAGGCCCTGATCCACAGGGAGGCCTGGTGAATGACTGGGCCGCGGGGGCGTTGACCCCAGGAACGACCCCCAGGTAGAGAGCATATATAAGGCATGGCTTGAAGTAAGCAGTGATAATATGGAACCCACATCTGATAAAATACTTCAAGAAGCTACAAAAAGTGCAAAGGACTGAAAAAAAAAACCTAGAGGCCGTGTTATGATGAGAAATCAGAGGAGTTAAACTTGACAATACCAAAGGACAGAAAGGAATAGAGGTGACTTAGCTACGACGTACGAAATACTTAGAGGAATTGACGGAGTGGAAAGGGCGAGTGTGTTGGAAACGGAGCTCAGGTACACAAGGGCAGAGCCGGAAGTTAAGACACGGATGAGGCACATAGATGTTAGGAAATTCTTCTTTAGCTTTAGTGATCACAAAGTTTAAAGACCTAGACAGCGAAATGGAAAAGGCAGAATCCATAGCTTTTTAGTATGATAAGACTCACACAGCCAGGAGAGAGGCGGGGCTAGGAGCTGAAATTCAACCCCCTGAAACCACATATAGGTGAGTTCACACACAAACTCAAATTCATTCTCTCTGTTTCTAATGTATTATTAAAAGAAATTTCGCAAAGATTTTAAAACAATATAATCTACAATGGTTCCTGTGAGTCACGTGGATGTTGAAGACATTTGTGTTACAGTATTAAATGACAGCATTATAAGTGTAATTAAATACCATCTAATGACAGCATTATAAGTGTAATTAAATACCATCTAATGACAGCATTATAAGTGTAATTAAATACGATCTAATGACAGCATTATAAGTGTAATTAATACTATCTAATGACAGCATTATAAGTGTAATTAAATACCATCTAATGACAGCATTATAAGTGTAATTAAATACCATCTAATGACAGCATTATAAGTGTAATTAAATACTATCTAATGACAGCATTATAAGTACAACTAATTCACAATTCCACCACAGTTCATTACAATAAGAACGGAGGCAGGTGTGGTGTATGTGGCGACAACTACCAGGAGAAGACACCCAGGTCGCATGAGAATCGTGGTATCTTCGGTAATGGTATCAATACCAAGAACTACGTGTCTGGCCAGGTAAGATTGTGTTTGTGTGTGTGTACTCATACATTTGCACTCACCTATTTGTGGTTGCAGGGCTCGAGTAACAGCTCCTGGTTCTGCCTCATCGCTGGTCGCTACTAGGTCCACTCTCTCCCTGCTCCATGAGCTTTATCGTGCCTCTTCTTAAAACTATGCATGCATCCTACTTCCACTACATCACTCTACAGATTGTTCCACTTCCTGACAACTCTATAGCTGAAGAAATATTTCCTAACATCCCTGTGACTCATCTGAGTTTTCAACTTTAAGTTGTGTCTCCTTGTTGCTGTGTCCCATCTCTGAAACATACTGACCCTATCCACCCTGTCAATTCCTCTCAGTGTTTTATATTTCGTTATCATGTCCTCCCGAGCTCTCCTGTCCTCCAGTGTTGTCAGGTTGATTTCTTTTAACCTCTCCTCGTAGGACATATCCCTTAGCTCCGGGACTAGTATTGTTTCAAACCTTTGTACTTTATCTAATTTTTTGACATGCTCGACCAGGTTAGTAAGTAAGATAGTTTATTCAGGTATACACAAATACAGTTACATAGATTATCATACATAGCAGCATATGTGTAGAGGGGTTGCAGGTGTGGGTTCCGTACTGGTGCTGCAAACTCTAGTATGGGCCTGACATACGCGGTGTACAGGCGTCGAAACGCTATTCTTAGGTTTGCCAGGCGCCGATATGTTGCTGCTTTTATTTGGTTGATGTGCGCCTCAGGGGATGTGCTCGGTGTTATACTCACTCCAACATCCTTTTCCTTGAGTGAGGTTTGCAGTCTTTGGCCACCTAGCCTATACTCTGTCTGCGGTCTTCTTTGCCCTTCCCCGATCTTCATGACTTTGCATTTGGCGGGGTTAAACTCCAGGAGTCAGTTGTTGGACCAGGCTTGCACACTGTCTAGATCCCTTTGTTGTCCTACCTGATCCTCATCCACTTGAATTCTCATTAGCTTCATATCATCTGCAAATATGGACATTTATGAATCTATCCCTTCTGTCATGTCATTCACATGTGTGTACTTCCCTAATTTTGTGTGTTTGTGCCATCCTAACAAAGCTATGTGTTGCAGGTAATCAACATAGAAGCTGAGTTGACTACAAACCACAAAGGACGTATGGAGGTGCGGCTGTGTCCACACAATGATCCCTCTACCGCCATCACCCAGGAATGTTTCGACCAGTGAGTTACATTAACAACTATATAGGGAATTAAGAGACGTTTCACCTTCATGGAAAATAATTTGAAACCCAAATTAAATGACATACAGAATATTGGAAGAGTTTGCCATTATTATTCATTTTTATTATTATTGTTTTAAATAATTAGGGATTTCTACTTTAATTGACACTAATTAATCACATGTCAGTCGAGTTCACTTAGACCCCAGCTATCCAGTTCTAAAACATATGAACTCTTCCCATCAACAGGGCTGTATTACAGCTAAGCATACTGGTTACTTACCAATCTGATGTATCCGATGACACCTGACACCTGGTTCATTATCCAGGCTGTAATATCCAGTACGCTGTCTAAAGTGAAGCGCAGGCCTCGCGTTTGCTCCAAGACTAACTCTGGGACTGATTTCTAATAACTGGAACCCATGCCACTCTACCTACTATTTCCTACCTAGCTTGAACGAGCTTATAGATTGCAATCTATGCTGTACAAGGTTGTAAAATTGACCAGCCAGTGGCGGTTCTAAAAAAGTCAGGCAAGACCATGCACGAATAAGGTCACAAGGTCTCTTTCACTACTCTCGAGTGTGAATCCGGTGTAAGTCCAAAGGTCCACAGAATCACTTAGATATGAGCCTTCAATACTCTAACACCGCCGACCTTAACTAGGAGCAACAGGTAAAGGCAAGTTCACCAGGACGGGCCCTGGTCCGGGTCTTCTCCATGCGATGATCCGGCAAACTAGGCACTGACGCACTATTACATTTAAAGGGTAATCTCAGCGTCATGGACCATCCTCGCCTGGCGTCTTGAACACTTACAAGCTCTCTGGTCGAACGGAGACTGAAATCCCGCCCCCGACTTTTCGGATCGTATGCCTGGCGTCAGCTCTAAATTACCATCCTTGTGGCTTAGCGCTTCTTTTTGATTATAATAATAATAATCTAAATTACCAGAGACGGAAAAAAAATGAACACCCATCGAGTGCTCTAGAGACGTGAGAGTGTCAGTCATTGTGACTTTCGAGGTCCTAGACCAGAGTGGTCAAGATCTCACAGCTTTATCAAGTCACTGACGACTTAGATATGTAAAGGAACGTGATGTTTCTCACGGCCTCTCTAGAGAGGGAGAGTCGTTCAGGCAGCCTCCACATTATCCCTAGTGAGGGGTGCTAACGGTCATTATGATACTGGGATTAAGCACTCACCCCCAGTGGAATGGTAGAGAAACTGGTGGAATCAAATTCCACCACAATTACTGAAGAAAGTCATTAAGTACAGAACATTCTCTATACATGGACTATATTTCTCTCTGAACAGAGCATTATCTAGTAATATTCAGATGACAACTATTGTATAAACATAATGAATAAATGCAATGTATAAACTAGTGTATAGCCCTACTGTATAAACGCTGTGTATAAGCCTAGTGTATAAACCAAGGGTATAAACCTAGTGTACAATATACATTTGCTCTTCACACAATATCACTCAACTAATCAGCAAATTCTTCCTTCCTGGAGGAATATTAACTCCACTTGGGGCCTCTAAATTAAAACAAAAGATCACCGTTATAGGCGTGATAAGGAATAGGCAAATATCAATTAGAGCAATTAAGTGTGAACTGCGTAAGAGAATTATGGAAGAACGGGCAGGCTGGGGGGGGGGGGGTTGCATTATACTGTTACACAGAATGGATAATATAATACTGAATTGTTTAATGACCTGTTTAATAAATTGTTTAATGCCTAGAATACAACTACCATTATAGATGTATGATGTTCTACAACCTGTTGATCCCCAGATTCCCCAACAGTCTAAAATACCTGTTTCCTCAGAGGGGCATTGTAAGGAATAGAACAACTTGAAGTTTAAACAGTGTTTCTGCTGTAGGGGAGTAGGGAAATTACCCTCTTTCTTGATGTCTGACGCTTATACACTCCCTCTCCCTGACTCACTTATAATAATAATAATAATAATAATAATAATAATAATAATAGTATATCTTTATTTCTACAAGTACATGTACAAAATATACAGGCCTAGCTAACACCAATGACATACTACTATATAGAAAGCAGCTTGTTATGCAGAGCATTTCGGGCAAATTAGGTCAGTTTTATCCCAGGATGCGACCCACACCAAGTACCCATTTTATACTGATGGGTGAACATGGACAGCAGGTGTCTTAAGGAAACACGTCCTAATGTTATCCAGACACACCGGAGATTTGAACTCCGGACCACAGTATGTAAGCCGAGTGCGCTAGCGATCAAGGTAATTCTACGTCTTCTTAACACTGATGCCAGAGACAGTGACTGAATATATTGTTACATCGTTAAATGGACGCAAGTAAAACAGTAACTGCCTGGGTCACATCATAAGTAACACTGTACCTCCTTGAGGCACGCCCTTCTGTCGACATCTCTCTGAGTAGCTACGGGAATTTACAAATTAAAATATAAAAAAAAAAAAAAAAAATTTACAAATTATAATTATTATATAACAGAAAGCTACTCTTTTAGGAACTTTATCTAAGGATAATTATAATATAATAAATATCGTATTATGAAACGTGAAAATCGTCACATGTAAAAAACAACCAAAAAAATTGGTATTGAAAGAAAAACATTCCTTACGGCAACCTTTCTTCTCTAAGACAACTGACATAATAGTTCATTTTTATGTATTCAGGATGAACTTCGCTATAACTTGTTGACTAATACTTTACAGTTGTAAAATGATAAGTAGTTAATAATAATAAAAAAATAACCTAAATAAAATAATTGTAAAATGGGAATAATAAAATTTCCAGTTATAATAATAATAATAATAATAATAATAATAATAATAATAATAATAATAATAATAATAATAATAATAATTATTATTATTATTATTATTATTATTTTGGGGAAGCTCTCAACCATATGAGCTCATACACATCGATACCATGCCTAACCCTTCTAGGGTAGGGTAGGTGCCTGAGCCCGAGTCTTTAGCTCATAAGACTGTCATTCCCATTCGCCCCCTTGGGGGCGGGGATGGCAGACCAGAGAGGCCTAGCTTGTGGCTAGGCCTGGGGACAGTTGGTCCCAAAGATGAGGAGGTACTTGTGCCTCCTCCCATGGGAGACTTAGGTCTCAGACACTCCCTAAAGAGGGAGCCAAGGCCGGGCCACCACTTGGAAAAGGCCCGGGCCGGGAGAATACCGGCTAATCTTTAATAATAATAATAATAATTTCATACAGTACAGGGGGACAGGGAAGGTAATCATGTTTGATCCGGAGGAAGACAGTTCCAATTCCTTTCTATCGAGAGTTCTCCACAGGTATCAAGGTGTTTCCCTCGAATTTTTTTTTTTAAGATTAGTCATCTTAATTGTTTCCCTTAAAAGTTGTCACCTTCAGAAGTAAACCTTCCCATGGAAGTTCATTTCCAGTTGTAATATAAGCACAGATAAATGTTTGTCATGTTTTTTCTCTTTATGATGTAATATTTCCCTTGTTCAGGTATCCCTTGCCCCTGGAAGGCACTTCAGACTTCAGGTTCATCATTCCAGAAGACAGTCCCAAGGCTGGTGTGTTCACCTGGAAAGTTAAGCTTCCTGACGGCGTCACCTGCAGCGCCTGTGTTATTCAATGGACCTACTTTGCAGGTTAGCTTATGTTTTTTGGGGGTTTATTCATTAAGGAATATGTGACACGGATCTTTGTCATCAGTCGTCCCTTTCAGCGGTGGCATACAAGCCAGCGGTGGCTTTTATGCCACCGCTGGCTTACTAGTGATAAAATCCAAATATTTAAGTAGATTAGTTTACTGCTGTTTGTAATATAGTGTAACACTGCCGGTACAATATACAGTTGTGTAGTAAGTAGTAAATAAATTATTCAAGCCATTAAAATACTTTCCAATAAATCGCCGCATTATAAAAAGTGTTTTAAAACCGTAAAACTGCACACTTTCTTTTAATTTTCAAGGCAAAAAAAAAAAAGAAAAAAAAAAAATCACTGTTCGATCATCTTACATATATCTCCAAGATTACCAAGAAATTTAATGGAAGCTGTAATCACCCAGTTCACAGTCAACAGTCTCCTCATGACATCACGAAATGGATCTATAAGAAGCAAATATTATCTAACAAATTTACTTAACATTTCTATAAAATGTGTCCAACAATACACATGAAGGCACTCCAGTGCCACACGTGTAGAAGATTTTCCCAGATATTCCAAGTGTATGGAGATACAGGCAAAATAATGGATATTAAACAATGGCTGAAGAACAGGAAAAGAGTCATCTTAAATTGGGTAGAAACTTATTAGAACCATAATTTGAATGATTTGAACAGAATCCCACAAGTAAATGTTCTAGAGCCTACCATGTCTGTAATCAATAATAGCGTTGTCAAAAACATTACAAATCCCATTATTTTATTGGACAACACAAGAATTTTCTGAAAGAATGACAAATAAAGTAGCTATAACCTTTCTGCCAGAATTGCCTATTCGACGTACTAAGAGGCCTAAAGACTAGCTAATGTTATTTGAAATAGATGTAGGACCCAGGATGTGAGATATAGAGACTAAACAATTTGCATGGTTTAAGAATTTACCAATCACTAAAATATCACTGCCAATAGTCGAAAGAATTAAATAAAACTAAAATATTCCCAGGAATCGTTAAATATGGAGACACATCCACGAACAGACGAGAATATATTGAAGATTTCACGGCTAAAAAAGATTCAACTATGACAAAAAAACATTGTAAACTTTAAAGAGAGAATAATAATACTGAATTTGACTAATAAGTCACAGTACATTGGCTGGAATAATTCACAACAAATCCAGAGATTGTAAATAAAAGTTTGACAAAGTGTCGATCGGTCCTGAATTATTATAAGCTGTCGAACGACAAAATATCTTTGCTTGTATTGTTGCCAGTTGTTTCAAGCAGGTAATGTGGCTTGCTTCATTTATCACTTATAGTTTCTATACCACTATGTATCTTTAGTGAAAAAAAGTATATTATCAAATCCCGACCCCTCGTATTTTGTTCGTTTATCCCAAAGTTCGCAATAATGGAGAAATTGATAAATTTTATTTGGCTGAAGAGTGTGGGTTGTACGGATTTCTTTTTTTTTTGGATTTAATAACGATGTATTTTCACTGCCTTTTTGTGTATTGCGAATATGGATGTCCTGTTACATGCCAGTTTTATGTTTTACATATTGCCATACGTATCTGATTTTATGTACATCGATGCTTTAAAATACAATATAAATTTTACAAGCTATGTTAGTCTTTACTCCATGGCTTTCAAAAGGGAAACTTTTCCAGACTTACTGACATCTGCGATTTTTTCAATTATACCGTGTTTTATTTGGAGCATAAATAAAATACCCTGGTTACTTACGTCTCAGCTTCCTCTCTTACTTGAATACAAAGGGAAAAGTTGATTAACATGCAACTACTTAACTTTTAATTTAACTTTTTTTTTGCAATGTGGTACTTGTCGAAAAGGTAAATATTTCTGCGATATCGTAGTTTTGCTTCTCACGAAAGATAAACTTTCTAATAGGTGTTCTTTGTCCTATAGATGATTTTGTTTGCACATTTTTCTATACCAATCAGAATGTTTAATTTCAAACAAAAGGGAATTTTTCTAAACTTTATGCATTTTCTTTTTTTAAATATAAGTTAATGAAATACTTGCCTGTGTTAATCTGAACATTATCACATTGCAAACTACGAGATTTTCCATTTCATTACATCTTTCAGGAAATACTTGGGGCTTTGACAACGCAACTGGTGAAGCGGCTCAGGGCAAGGGACCACAAGAAACCTTCATCAACTGTGCTGATGTGTACATACACTCAAATACCCCCATTGGTGCACCAGCCAACAACAACGTGGTAGACAACCCCTGGGCGCTCTATTTCAGAGGAAGCTTCCCAGGAATGAACAGAGACGTGAATGCTAAGCCTGATAAAAATGGTCTCACTCCTCTTGTTATCAGGTGAGGCGAGGCTAATAGTTTAGGTCATTGCTATTCAACATATATTTTTTTTATATTGTCCACCGCTCGTGGAGAAATTGACAATGTCTTCCACTCCAACTGGAGATTATTTTTTTTCAAAAGTTATCTGCAATTCTAAATTAACTTAAAGGAGAGTAATATAAAGTGGTGTGACCTCTTGGGGTAAACTGGTCTAGAGGCAACACATTGGCCTTAATAAAAAAAAATATTGAAATAAACCCAACGTAGGGCCAGAATCTCTCGTAAACTAGAAAAAAAAAAGTTCAACTGGTGGCCAATTCTGAGTTTAATAAACACAATGTTTGATCCTCAAGGAAGGTTAAATAAACTTGATTCTAAGAAAATAAAAATTTTAACAACCTGTATTATGCATCACAAAACTGCGTTACTCTACCCTTAACACACATCACAAAAATAATATTCCCACACACATATACCTTTGATCGTATTTGCTTTGATCTCTTCCTCTTTTCTGCAATACTGCAACCTCCTGATGATCTGTTGACTGCAACACGAAAGGCCTAGAGCTATCATTCAACTCCCCCCGTAGTTGTTTTGCATATATATATATATATATATATATATATATATATATATATATATATATATATATATATATATAGGATGGGGTCCACCTCTGGTGTAAATTGTGGGACCCATAGCCTCGGAGAAGTGGATAAAAAGGCTTCAAGGAAGAATATTTGGATTTCTTCCTGAAGCCATTTGAATATTCCACTTCCCCTACCACCCCATCTTTTAAACTATATATATATATATATATATATATATATATATATATATATATATATATATATATATATATATATATATATATATATATATATTTGACGACAAAAAAAATCCAGCTTTTGTCTTTCATAAGTTTATTTTTATTTATTTATTTATTTTTTTTGTATGTGTGTTTTCTTTGCTAACTTACACTGTGTTCGCAGGGCTCAGCTGTGTCTTCCACGTAAGAAATACAAGAATATAGCTGGCTTTGATACGTGGTGTATGCAAACCTGCCTTCACTACCCACCCAAGTGCAATTACGACTTTTGTTACTGCGTGTAAGTTCAATTTTCGTTAATTTTAAAGTATTTTTTACAAACACATCTGCCCTCTCCCACCGAGCCAAAGTGACACGAAAAAAGAAGAAGCATATTCATCATCACTCACTCCATCAGTGTTTTGCCAGAGACGTGCCGAGACTAGAGTTAAAAAACTGCAACAAATCCTCTTCCTTCCAGGACTTAAGTCCTGCTACCCGGTTTCCCTGAATCCCTTCATGAATGTTACTTTGCTCACACTCCAACATCATATCAAGTCATAAAAACCATTTGCCTCCACTCACTTCTATCTAACAAGCCTGGTGCTCCGGGGTATGGGGAAGTGACCTCTAACTTGGGCCAGGCGCCCATACTTATCGGGAGTACTGCGTACTCTGATGCCGAGTTTGCAGGTTCGAATCCTGCTGTGGACTGAAAGCACAATGTTTATCTCCCACCGAGCAGGGCTCAATATACCTACTAGCCATCTGAATAATTTGTAGGCAACTGAGCCAACACAGGAAATTATATATCTGTCCGGATTACCTGGTTATGTGCCCAGTTGTAGGCAAAGTTTCCAGCTGAATCATTACTCCTTAGGGGGAGATATAATTGTGCTGTATAAGTGGAAAACAGGAATATATAAAGGGGGGTGTAAATAACGTGTTAAAAATATCTAACCAAGACGGGACTCGCAGCAGTAGGTTCAAGTTGGAAAAACTTAGATTTAGAGAGGATATGGGTTAGGTAACAGAGTTGTGGATGAGTGGAACAAACTCCCGAGTAGCGTCCCTGAAGCTAAAACTTTTTGTTGCTTGGAAAATAGGTTAAACAAGTATTTGAGTGGGTGTGGGTTGGACCTGATAGGATGTGCCAGTAGGCCTATCCTAGGGGTCTACTGGCCCCTGGCACCATGACTAACCATTGCTTGTGCCAATAAGCAATGGTAAATTAGATGGGTGTTCATGTGTCAGCTATTACTGAGATATAAATACAAAATATAATGTGAGAAAACTGAAAATTAGCCTCACCATCGATGGGGTAAACTAAAATTATTTCAGAATTAAAAAAATTAAGTGAAGAATTATTTTTTTAGTGAAACAGCTTCAGTTGACCAATATTTTTATGTTGCGTTCTCTCTGCTCTGCTAGGTTATTTTCATATAGTTAAAATTAGTAAAAGTTCTTAAACTGAACGTTACAGTACTCGCAACACTTTGCCACCCTGAAAAATATGTCCTTACCATCACCCTCTATGTAGTCTGTTAGGTATTTCTTGATTCATGATCCATTGTAGAACTGCTTGTTCATCTAATTTGTGAATCAGTGTCTTGAAGGGAGCATTGTTAAATGCTTTCTTACCGTTTAAGAATATGCAATGAATCCATACTTGTCTTTCTGGTTTGATTTCCGTTATTGTGTTTTAGAACTCTAGTAAAAGGAAATATAAACACATATGCAGTATAATGTGATCCTTTATTGACTACGTTTCGCCCACACAGTGGGCTTTTTCAAGTCACAAACAGATCTGTTTGTGACTTGAAAAAGCCCACTGTGTGGGCGAAACGTAGTCAATAAAGGATCACATTATACTGCATATGTGTTTATATTTCCATTGTGTCGGTATTTTATACCATTTATTTCCAGAACTCTAGTAAGTTAGTTAGGCATGATTTACCTTAGGTATGATTTACATTTCCTAAATCTATGCTGATTTTCTTTAAAAAAAAAAGACCTATAACACTCAGTCATTATTTATCTGATTGTCTTTTCCAGTACTTTGGTTAATATATTTTTTGTGCTACTGGCCTATTATTCAGTTCTTCTTGTCTGTCCGCGTGTTTGTATACCAGAATTACGTTTGCAGTTTTTGAGTTCTCCAGTTGATTTATCTCTCCTGGAACATGCTGTATGTAATTAGGTTTATACAATTTACAGTTTTTCACTCCTTTCATTATCCATGGAAATATGCCTTCAGGCCACATGGATTTTGATGTGTAACTTTTATAGTTTCATTACTTTTTTGGTCCATGATTTCCGCCCAATAAATGCCAGTATGTAGAAAATATTCCCTCCCTCTTCAAAATTATTACTTGGTCTTTTACAGATACCTTCTTTCTTATGTGACTGTGTTATATTTTAGGCTCTGATTGGCCTTTGCGGATATGCCAGTCTCCAACTGACGTTCTGTTTCTCTTATTATCCTTGTATAGTCATTCCTGATCCATGAGCTTTGTTGTATCTAGTCTTAAAGCTATGTATGCATCCTGACTCCACTACATCAATCTCTAGATTATTCCACTTCCTGACAACTCTGTGACCGAAGAAGTACTTCCTAACATCCCTATGATTCATCTGAGTTTTCAACTTTCAGTTGCAGTTTCATGTTGCTGTATCTCATCTCTGAAACATCCTGTCCCTATCCACCCTGTCAATGCCTCTCAGTATTTTATATGTCGTTATCATATTTTCCCTATCTCTCCTGTCCTGCAGTCTCGTCAGATTGATTTCCCTTAATCTTTCCTCATAGAACATACCCCTTAGCTCCGGGACTTGTCTTGTTGCAAACCTTTGCACTTGGGTGTGGGTTCCATACTAGTGCTGCATACTCCAATATGGGCCTGACATACACGCTGTACAGAGTTTTAAATGATTCCTTACTCAAGTGTTGAAACGCTATTCTTAGGTTTGCCAGGCGCCTGTATGTTGCAGCAGTTATTTGGTTGATGTGGGCCTCAGGAGATGTGCTCGGCATTATACTCACCTCAAGATCATTTTCCTTGAGTGAGGTTTTCAGTCTTTGCCCCCTTAGCCTATACTCTGTCTGTGGTCTTCTTTTACTTCCCCAAATCTTCATGACGTTGCATTTGGTGGGGTTAATCTCCATGAGCCAGTTGTTGGACCAGGCTGGCAGCCTGTCCAGATCCCTTTGTAGTCCCACGTGATCGTCATCAACTAAAATTCTTCGCATTAGCTTCACATCATCTACAAACAGGGACATTTCTGAATCTATCCCTTCCCTCAGGTCATTCACATAGACCAAAAACAGCACCGGCCCTAGGACTGACCCTTTTGGAACTCTGCTCGTCACAGGTGCCCACTCTGACACCTCGTCACGTACCTTCACTCGTTGTTTCCTTGTTGTCAGATATTCTCTGAAACAATACAATGCCTTTCCTGTTATTCCTGCCTGCTCCTCTAGCTTTTGCTCTAATCTCTTGTGCAAAACTTTGTCAAAAGCCTTCTTGCAGTCCAAGAAAATGCAGTCTATACCCACCCCTCTCTCTCCTGTCTTACTTCTGTCACCTTGTCGTAAAACTCCAGTAGTTTATGACGCAGGATTTCCCCTTCCTGAGGGTAAAGGGTCGTTCCAGCAGTATTGGTTTAATTTTTATTGCGTAAACCCTTCTCTTGGCGTATGCAAATCTTAATTAAGTATAAATTAAACCTTACGCCTTTCTTACAGGTCTGAGTGTAAAGCAGTTGGAAGACTGGCCGAAAAAAAGGATGCAGACGTGTTCTGCCACCAGAACTGTCTTGGTCATCCATCATTTTGCCCTTCAGACATGTGCGAGTGTCTCTAGATCTACTCACCTCTACCCGCCCGCCAGCAAGTCTCCTCAGTGCTCACCCACACACATAGCATACAACGTTCAACGTTCTTAAATTCATGTTCTATAAATCTGTACAATTTTTAATAAGAATCTTTTCCTTTTTTTTTTACTAAACGCAATGCATTTTTATTAAGAAATTCAAAAGGCACTTTCCCGACTACTGATTCTAAGACATGATGTACCCAAACATTGCCCAAACATCAAGACATTACAACTTTCCTTATATATTAATTCACTAGGCGTTGGAACAAGCATATAGATAAATGACTCAGAGAACTGACAAGTTGATAAATTAGAAACATGGGTATATTTATTGAGGAAACGTTTCGCCACACAGTGACTTTATCAGTCCTAAACAAACTTCTGATCTTCGCCATTTTTTTTTTGTATAGGACTGATGAAGCCACTGTGGGGCGAAACGTTTCCTCAGTAAAGATACCCAGGTGTTGGACATGTGTCTAATTTATCAACCGTAACAAGTCTTTCTCATCACTGTCAGAGGTAAGCTATTCATAAGATGAAATACAGCTTGGTCTCGATTAGTGCAAATCCTGTGAAGTAGTCGCATTATTCGAAGTTATAATTATATGTAATATGTGGTAATTGGTTCCAGCCTAGCAGAAAAATGCGATGAAAATTTAAAAATTTTTTTTTTACCTATTTATTAACGTAATATAAAAGCAAAGAATAAGAAAAAAAAATGTATTTCTGATTTGTTATTGTAAAGAAGCCACGATTATCGAGAATATGAAGGTAGTTATGAACTCTGCCTGATGAAACAACTGCTTTAGCTTTCAAGCAAACAAAAAGACATGACCGGGGCCATAATAGACACAGGTTTGCACGCACACTATTAAGAATTTTAATATAATTTATACGATGAATGTGTACGCACTTGGTACTACAGTTAGAGTTTCTGACTTGACTTCTTGACCACTTCACTGAAGCTATTGATTATTATCCAGATCTGGGTTCCACAGAGGTATTCAGATGTGGGTTCCACAGGAGTATTCAGATCTGGGTTCCACATGGGTATTCAGATCTGGGTTCCACATGGGTATTCAGATCTGGGTTCCACAGGGGTATTCAGATCTGGGTTCCACAGGGGTATTCAGATCTGGGTTCCACAGCGGTATTCAGATCTGGGCTCTAGTTTGGGAGTCCGGATCTGGATCCTCCAGAAGCGTGCAGATCCTGGGATCTTGGCCTTTCACTAACAGGCTGTTTCGAAGATATCAGCATTTTGACACTTAATATTAGTACTGTCTTTACAAGAAACATTTCTCTTTTCATACGTCATAGATATCAGTGACTTGCGATCTAATCTGTGATAGATATCTGTTGACTGTGATCTTTTGTATGACAGCTGTGGGTCACTAATTACCTGTTCTGTGACAGATAATTAGTGACGAGTGATCCATCCTGTGGTATATATATCTATCACCAGTGATTTATTCTGGGTTCAAAATATTTAAGGCAGCATTTGTTTTCCTGATGTCAAGTACGTAAAAAAATGAATATAGCTTTTCAGTGCATATACATTAATTTTATAGCTTTTCAGTGCATATAGTACATTTTGCCAGATACAGTTAAGGAAACAGTGTTTCACTTGCAGCTGGTTCCTTTGATTTCACCAGCATCTGGTCTCCTTCGTTTCATCAGCAGATGGTCCCCTTGATTTCACTTGCAGCTGGTCCCCTTGGTTTCACTTGCATCTGTTCTGGTTGGTTGCACTAGCAGCTGGTATTGTTGTCTTCAACAACAGCTGGTGTAATTGGTTTCAACAACAGTTGGTCTGAATGGTTTTATTAGTATTTGATCTGGTTCTTTAAGCAGCAGCTGGGCTGTTTGGTTCAGCAGCAACAGCAAGTGGTCTAAATGGCTCCTCCACAATATATACATTTTATATTTTATCTAAAATAATAATACAATGATTAGGTGTTATTTAAGCATCAGTTACATTGAGTACTTTGCAGATATTTTAATTATATTAATATAAATAATTACATTACATTAAGTACTCTTTATTTTAGATACATCAGTACTCAGCATTTTAATTAAGTAATCTCGACAAATTCCTATTACATTAAAGTACTTTCAGCTAAAGTTCATTATATCTGGTGTTCGCTGCACTGTTACATTAAAAACTTACAATATATGGAACAAGTTACTTTTTAAGGTGTTAAGTATCCTTCGGTGTTCGTTGTTTGAGTTACCTGACTCCTGCCACCTGGTGCTTGTGCAGGCTGATGCCGCAGTGGCTTTCTTAAATGTAACTATTGAACCAACTTCATAATATTGTCTGTTAAACAACTTATTCCTGATACACTGTTATTTATTTGAACTTTATTCAGTTTTTATTAGCTTTGTTAAGCTTGCAATAGGTTATTTATTTGTTATTGTTATTATTATAAAGTTAATGTTGTTATTTGCTATTAATAAAAAAAAGTCACAAATATCCTTTTATTTTTCCCTGCAGACTTAAGAGAGTTGAAAATAAAAGATATTTGGACACTGTTCCCTGTCAGCAAAGTACCAAACTTTCATAAAATCACAATGAAACGGGTGACAGCAAATATATATAAAAAAAATACCACAGTGAAAAAGTAGGTTGAAAGCATGAACACCTTCATGTACTTGTATAAATATTCTGAGGAATAGGAAGGAAAGGCAAGAGAAGCACATTGATATTGTGATAAGTGAGGTGCTACCTCACTCTGGTATCTCACAAGTGAGGTGCTACCTCACTCTGGTATCTCACAAGTGAGGTGCTACCTCACTCTGGTATCTCACAAGTGAGGTGCTACCTCACTCTGGTATCTCACAAGTGAGGTGCTACCTCACTCTGGTATCTCACAAGTGAGGTGCTACCTCACTCTGGTATCTCACAAGTGAGGTGCTACCTCACTCTGGTATCTCACAAGTGAGGTGCTACCTCACTCTGGTATCTCACAAGTGAGGTGCTACCTCACTCTGGTATCTCACAAGTGAGGTGCTACCTCACTCTGGTATCTCACAAGTGAGGTGCTACCTCACTCTGGTATCTCACAAGTGAGGTGCTACCTCACTCTGGTATCTCACAAGTGAGGTGCTACCTCACTCTGGTATCTCACAAGTGAGGTGCTACCTCACTCTGGTATCTCACAAGTGAGGTGCTACCTCACTCTGGTATCACACAAGACAGGTGCTACCTCACTCTGGTATCACACAAGACAGGTGCTACCTCACTCTGGTATCACACAAGACAGGTGTTACCTCACTCTGGTATCACACAAGACAGGTGCTACCTCACTCTGGTATCACACAAGACAGGTGCTACCTCACTCTGGTATCACACAAGACAGGTGCTACCTCACTCTGGTATCACACATGACAGGTGCTACCACTCTGATATCACACAAGCGAGGTGCTACCTCACTCTGGTATCACACAAGACAGGTGCTACCTCACTCTGGTATCACACAAGCGAGGTGCTACCTCACTCTGGTATCACACAAGACAGGTGCTACCTCACTCTGGTATCACACAAGACAGGTGCTACTTCACTCTGGTATCACACAAGACAGGTGCTACCTCACTCTGGTATCACACAAGACAGGTGCTACCTCACTCTGGTATCACACAAGACAGGTGCTACCTCACCCTGGTATCATACAAGACCTGCTACCTTACCCTGGTATCACACAAGACAGGTGCTACCTCACCCTGGTATCACACAAGACAGGTGCTACCTCACCCTGGTATCACACAAGACAGGTGCTACCTCACCCTGGTATCACACAAGACAGGTGCTACCTCACTCTGGTATCACACAAGACAGGTGCTACCTCACCCTGGTATCACACAAGACAGGTGCTACCTCACCCTGGTGTCACACAAGACAGGTGCTACCTCACCCTGGTATCACACAAGACAGGTGCTACCTCACCCTGGTATCACACAAGACAGGTGCTACCTCACCCTGGTATCACACAAGACAGGTGCTACCTCACCCTGGTATCACACAAGACAGGTGCTACCTCACCCTGGTATCACACAAGACAGGTGCTACCTCACCCTGGTATCACACAAGACAGGTGCTACCTCACCCTGGTATCACACAAGACAAGTGCTACCTCACCCTGGTATCACACAAGACAGGTGCTACCTCACCCTGGTATCACACAAGACAGGTGCTACCTCACCCTGGTATCACACAAGACAGGTGCTACCTCACCCTGGTATCACACAAGACAGGTGCTACCTCACCCTGGTATCACACAAGACAGGTGCTACCTCACCCTGGTATCACACAAGACAGGTGGTACCTCACTCTGGTATCACACAAGACAGGTGCTACCTCACCCTGGTATCACACAAGACAGGTGCTACCTCACCCTGGTATCACACAAGACAGGTGCTACCTCACGGAGTAAGAAATGAGTGCTGCTGGCCGCACAGAGTAAACTTTGTTGGAAGGTGCATCCAGTCACTGCCATTTCAGTTTCCTTTTAGTTCCCTTTCAAAGAAACTCTGCACTAGGTTCACAAGAGTACTGGGCTCTGGTGGCTAAGCTCTCGCTTCACACGGCGAGGGCCTGGGTTAGATCCCCAGCCAGGGTAGAAACATTGGACGTGTTTCTTTACACCTGTTGTCTATGTTCCCCATCAGTAAAATGGGTACCTGGGTGTTAGTCGACTGGTGAGGGTCGCATCCTGGGACACTGACCTAATTTGCCTGAAATGATCATCCCACTGTTATCAATGGGCTTTCTATGTCATTGATGTCAGCTAGACCTGTATACCATGTACATGTACTTGTAGTAAATGCAGATATTATTATTATTATTATTATTATTATTATTATTATTATTATTATTATTATAAACATAAACTAAATAATGTAGATCTTAATACTACTGATTGGGAAAAGCATTTAGGAGTTCTGGTTAGCAGTAACCTAAAACCAAGACAACAGTGCATTAGTGTTCGCAATAAAGCTAACAGAATTTTTGGCTTCATATCAAGAAGCATAAATAATAGAAGTCCTCAGGTTGTTCTTCAACTTTATATATTCTTGGTT